AATGAATTTGACCACTAGGATGAAATGAACAAATTTCTTGAGAGACACAAACCACCAAAGCTCACTAAAGAAGAAACAGATAACCTGAGTGGTCCTCTATTAAAGAAATAGAATCTAAAGTTTAAAATTGTCCCACAGAGGAAATTTCAGGCCCAAGTAGCTTCGTTGGTGAATTCTCCCATGTTTAAGGAAGATGTACCAATTCTTGACAAACTCTTCCAGAAAATTAAAAAGGAGTGAATACTCCCCAACCTATTCCACGAGGCCTGTATGACCCTGATACTAAATTCAGACATTACGAGAAAAACAGCAACAACAAAAACAAAAAACTAGATACCCACATCCCTCGCGGCAAATATCCCTCTCAACAAAATTTTAGCAGCATGGTCATGGGTATGATGACAGCAATTCTAAGAGGTAAGTTCTCTCCCAAATTAATCTAAAAATGTTTGTAATTCCATTAAAAATTCCAGAAGGATTTTTTTAAGTAAAATTAATTGAAGTGTAACATATATACAGAAAACCGCACCGATCATAAGTATATAACACAATGAATTTTTGCAAAGGGAATAACTATATATAACCATGACATAGATTTAAAAAGAATATGAAAAGGAATATGTGTGTGTGTGTGTGTGTGTATACATATATATATATATATATATATATACTATTTTAAAAATAATATATATGCATAACTGAATCACTATGCTATATACCAAAAATTAACACAACTTTGTAAACCAACTATACTTCAATTAAAAAAATTAAAAAATAAAAAACCAAAGCTTTACCAGCATCTCAGGAACACTGCTGCCCAACACCCTCCTCTCCCCGTAACTAGAGACTAGCCTAGCCTGTTTTGAACTCAATATAAAAGGACTAAGGATGGGGTATAAAAGGAAAAATATAATTGAATAAAATAAGAGCAGTTCCTTGATGATGATGTTATGCCATGAACTAAGGGATATGATTAACTCAATTCTCTCCACCTAAGGTGTCCAGAACCTACACAACAAGCTTCCAGAAAACAAAAACTTCTGTTGAGTCCAGCTTACAAAGTCCAGACATGTCCGAATTCCAGTGGAAGACACAATTCAGGGTCTGCTTCCATCTCCCCACCCCACCAGCTCCAAATAGAACCAAGTCCCTTTTGGAATTAAAAATACTCATGGCTGGGTGTTAGATCCCCAGTTTTTAGAGCTGGATTCTTCTCCTCATCTCTCAAGTTCCCTCACCTACTAAGTGGGTTTCCTTAGTTGTCCCACGGAATTCACAGGGATCTGAGGAGGAAGCTCAAAATACAGTAAGGTATGTGAAAACAACTTGTAAAGTATTATTGAACCAAAGGCCATCACAATGGTTATTTTTTTTTAATTTTTTGTTTTATTGTTTGTTTTGAGGGGACGTAATTAGGTTTGTTTGTTTGTTTGTTTTAATGGAGGTACTGGGGATTGAACCTAGGACCTCCTGCATGCTAAATATGCACTCTACCACTGAGCTCTCCCCCTCCCTCCCACAATGGGTGTTTTAAAGGAAAACATTTCCAAAAGATTCCAGCTTAGATTTAAAAAAAAAAACCTTTAAATTATTTTATTATTTTTTAATGTGGAATATTTAATAAGATGTAAGAAGTATTTTGATTTGTGGGAAAAGATGAGCCCCAAAGTGTACTGTTAAGTGCCATGGTTTGTGTCTATTACTTATTTATTTAAGTGTTAAACTTCAGATTACGTGTGATAAACCATGTGTGGTGCAGCACTATTGATTTTTCCACATTAGCTGCTGAATTAAATGTGCATTACTCCAGGGTTGGTCACCACGAGGGAAGCTTAAAAAGTTTTGAGGGGGAGTAAGGAAAGACCATTAAGACTCTGGAGGCCCCATCTCCAGTTGATCTCTATCACCCTAGGGGAGGTTTACTGCATTCGGTCGTCGCCTGTACATCCTTGTCTTAATGCTTCCTCTAATGGTACCTAATGGCAGCTTGGCTACATCATTTGCTTTATAAAGAAACAGCTGCCTTCTCCAATCGTGTGTCAGCTGTGTGTATCCCATATAAAATACAAAATTCCTTGGTGAGCCTTTTTTTGTTTGTTTCATGTTTTTATTAGCTCACTCATTTGTCTATTTAATCAGTGAATATTTATGGGGTTCTAGATATTTAGCTAGTTATAGTCTTTATCACCAAATTGTAATACTTGTCTCTGTGATCAGTACCGGGAAGTGAATTATTACCCACTTGTCCTTGGAGACTATTAAGATATTGGGAGCTCTAGTTTGAATTCCCACCTCCATTACCTTCCAGCGGGATAACCTTGGTCAAGTCATTTTTCAGAAATAATTGAGCTTTTTCAGGATTTGCAGATACTAACTACTTTATGTAAAATAGATAAAAAGCAAGGTCCCACTGTATAGCACAGGGAACTATATTCAATACCTTGCAATAGCCTATAATGAAAAATAATATGTAAAGGAATATATATGTAACTGAATCACTATGCTATACACCAGAAACTAACACAACATGGTAAACCAACTATACTTCAATTAAAAAAATTTTTAATTAATTATATGCTGATGACATGTTACTATATATAGAAAACCCTAAAAGGTCCACACAAAAGCTACTAGAGCTGATTGAAGAATTCAGCAAGGTAGCAGGTTACAAAATTAATGTTCAAAAATCAGTTGCATTTCTTTACACTAACAATAAATCAACAGAAAAAGAAAGTAAAGAAACAATCCCCTTTAAAATAGCACCCAAAGTAATAAAATATCTGGGAATAAATCTAATCAAGGAGGTGAAAGAATTATACACAGAAAACTATAAACCATTGATGAAGGAAATTAAAGAAGACTTTAAAAAATGGAAAGATATTCCATGCTCTTGGATTGGAAGAATCAATATTGTTAAAATGGTCACACTGCCCAAGGCAATCTACAGATTTAATGCAATCCCTATCCAATTACCCAGGACATATTTCACAGAACTAGAACAAATCATAATAAAATTTATATGGAACCATCAAAGACCTAGAATTGCTAAAGCATTACTGAAGAGAAAGAAAGAGGCTGGAGGAATAACTCTCCCAAACTTCAGACAATACTATAGAGCTACAGTCATCAAGACAGCATGGTATTGGTACCAAAACAGACATAGGGACCAATGGAACAGAATAGAGAGCCCAGAAATGAACCCACAAACCTTTGGTCAACTCATCTTCGACAAAGGAGGCAAGAATATACAATGGAATAAAGACAGTCTCTTCAGCAAATGGTGTTGGGAAAACTGGACAGCAGCATGTAAAACAATGAAGCTAGAACACACCCTTACACCATATACAAAAATCAACTCAAAATGGATTAAAGACTTAAACATAAGACAAGATACAATAAACCTCTTAGAGGAAAACATAGGCAAAACATTATCTGACATACATTTCAAAAATTTTCTCCTAGAAGAAATAAAAGCAAGAATAAACAAATGGGACCTAATGAAACTTACAAGCTTCTGCACAGCAAAGGAAACCAGAAATAAAACAAGAAGAAAACCTACGGAATGGGAGAAAATTTTTGCAAGTGAAACCGACAAAGGCTTGATCTCCAAAATATATAAGCAGCTCATACGACTCAATAAGAAAAAAATAAACAACCCAACCCAAAAATGGGCAGAAGACCTAAACAAGCAATTCTCCAAGGAAGACATACAAATGATCAAAAAGCACATGAAAAAATGCTCAATATCACTAATTATCAGAGAAATGCAAATCAAAACTACAATGAGGTATCACCTCACACCAGTCAGAATGGCCGTCATTCAAAAATCCAAAAATGACAAATGCTGGAGAGGCTGTGGAGAAAGGGGAACCCTCCTACACTGCTGGTGGGAATGCAGTTTGGTGCAGCCACTATGGAAAACAGTGTGAAGATTCCTCAAAAGACTAGGAATAGAATTACCATATGACCCAGGAATCCCACTCCTGGGCTTGTATCCAGAAGGAAATCTACTTCAGGATGACACCTGCACTCCAATGTTCATAGCAGCACTATTTACAGTAGCCAAAACATGGAAACAGCCTAAATGTCCATCAACAGGTGACTGGATAAAGAAGATGTGGTATATTTATACAATGGAATACTACTCAGCCATAAAAACCGACAACATAATGCCATTTGCAGCAACATGGATGCTCCTAGAGAATGTCATTCTAAGTGAAGTAAGCCAGAAAGAGAAAGAAAAATACCATATGAGAT